CCCCCCCCCCCGGGAGCCCCCGGAGTCAACGTGGGCATTTTCGGGGACAGAACTGTGGCCTCTCCCCCAACAATGTAAAATCTTTATCAACGATGGAAGCTGATGTGTCTCATTAAAAGTGGAAATAATAACACTGCTGAATCTTATTAACAGTAGTAATGATGATGAGGCAAACCTCATGACGCTTGTCCGGATGGTTCTATCTGCTCTAGGGTACAGCAGGGACTGGAAGAGACTGAAGGAGGCTGGGATGGGGGGAGGAGCTGGTGGGGGCAAAGCAGGTCTTGGATTAAGGCCTCCAGGAGCAGGAACTGGCCAGGAGCTTCAGGGATGTGGGGGCTTCGGAGGGAATTGTGTCAACAGCCACAGGCCCCCACCTTGGGCTTGGCAGCTTCTGCTTCCTCCCCCCCAACACTCCAGGAAAAGGTCTGCCTGGGCGTGGGGGGTGGGGACCCGAAAGAGGAGAGAGCTGAGCTGATGCTAAAAACAAATCTGAGGCTCATCTGTAATCTCTCGCTTATTCTTCCCAACACGCTAACAAGGAGGCTAGCACTGCTATCGGTTTTGCACGAGCCAGTGAGTTCAGAGAGGTTTAGTGACGTGCCCAAGATCACACAGGCAAGAAGCGGCAGGGTTGGGGTTGCATCGTATGTGTCTGGGCAACCTCTAGCCCATCGGCTTCATCCACCTCAGCCTCTTCTCACTGTCGAGGGAATGGGACATGGGGCAAGGAATCCCGATCATGAAACGACTTGCCAGGGAGGCCTTTTCCAAGGCAGTCACATTTGTGTTCGTAGAAATGCACGCCCGAGCTCCCAGCTTGGCGTACTCAGAGGCTTAAAGGAGTCCACGGTCCTTCACCTCGTGTGAGGAGAGAGGCTTAACCACAAGAGAAGGCATCCCTGAGCTCTGGCTGCTTCTCCGAAGGCTGGCCAAGGCTGTCTCTGCAATCACGCAGTTTCCCAGATACCACCTTTCCCTGGCATAATGCTGCCCTTGAACCACAGAGCACTGGCTCCCCTCCCCCGCCTGCCACCCCCTTGTCCTTCCCGTCCTCTCCCCGTGCCCCACCCAGACCTCTCCCACTTGGCAAACAGCTTTCACCTCTAATGTCACCCTTAGTCCCCACCCATCACAACCGTGGCCTCCTCTCTCCTTTCCTGGGCCAGCCGTCACCCAACCTGGGAGGCTGGCGACCGTGGTGCAGTGAGGACATCAGACAGCAGGTGGCAGCACAAGGTACCTTCACCTGGTGCCACCCCCGTGCCCCTTCCTTCGAGGGGCGTAGCCAGGGAGAGGACACCACACTGATGGGCACCTTCTACAGGGGGGTGCTCTGCATGGCCCTCCATGGAAGGAAACAGGCTCAGAGACGCAATGAAGGACTTGTCTGCATGATTCGTCCGCCATGGGAGTGGTGAGTCCACAGTGCTCAGTGACACCTGCCTAGGGCCTGTGCACCCAGGACTAACCCCAGGACAACGGCTACCAGGAGCGAGTTGAGCTGTGGACTGGCTCCCTACTCTGAGGACACGGCGAGGCGGGTCAGGGAGGCGGCACCTCAGCAAACACCCAGGGGGGATATCTGCTGAGAACTTCAGAACTCTGGCTTAGTCCCAGTCCAGGGGTGGGAGCTGCTGACGGTGGCCCACGGAGCTAGTTCATTCTTCTTGCTTTGAAAACTCCTGCATCGGTCACAGCAGCCCGTGCTCACATGCATGCCAAATCAGATCAAGTGCAGGCTGGGAGCGAAGAGGCAGCCTCGCTGAGGCCACGAGGGGGGCCGGTGTGGCTTCCATCAGGCTGGAGTGTGGGGGCTGGATCTGTTTTGGGGTTGCTCCAGGCCTTCACGGAGCCACAAGGGGCTCAAAAGAATCAGGTAGTGAGTAAAGGGGAGAGCTCTGCTTTTCCACACCCCGCCCTGCCGGAGTTCCCACCTGACTGTCCCCGTTTACAGCATTTTCTGCCCCCGGGTCTCCCCGTCCCTGCCTTGCTCTGCTTTCTTCTCTCTGCTGTCACTGCTGCTTAGAGCTGTGCCTTGCAATTATCTTCTCTTTCCATCTCCCTGCCAGGAAATCTCCAGTGGGTTCCCCTGGGATGCTCCCCGGCCAGGGAGGTACAGCACACGCTCGGCCCATCCCTCCCGGAGCTGCAGTCAGTCGGAGGGGAGGATGGGGCTGGGACCACAAAGCTGGGGGAGTGCAGTCCCTGTCTCCCCGGGAGCCCAAGCCACAAGTCCTTGTTGCTACACAGGAGCCTCCGGCCAGAAACATCCTGGTTCTGGAAAGTTGAAAACAGAGTGGACAGACAGTGCCCACTGCTGGGACTACAGCTAAGGCCACAGTAGCCTCGTTACTTACAACCTCTTCTAAGGGCATGAGATGCTTGTCGAGTCAGTCAACAAACATTTCCTGAGGTTCACCTTTGCCAGGCACTGTCCCGGGTGCTGAGGACACGGCAACAAACAAGTGTGCTTGGTCCCTATTCTGAAGGTGTCTACAGTCTCCTGGGGGAGGTGAGCAAGACAGACAGTGAGTACAATACAAGGGGGAAGACTGTGCAGAGAAAGGGTCTCTAGTCCAGGACTGGGGTGAGGGAGGTTCAAGGTAGGCTTTGGAGGAGGGGGGGGTGTGTGGGTCTTGAGTGAAATCTTCAAGGACAGGTAGTTTGCCGGGCGCAGAAAGGGAGGTGAGGTGTAGGGAGGAGACCATGGCAAGCAACTTTGAAAGGGGGCCCATGGGCACAACAGCATCAGCTAAGGATACCAGACACGCATTCCTGCCCAAAGTGTCTGCATGGAAATGGCCTGGCATTCAGAAGATACGGAGCTCATCACTCCTCTGCTGGGACAAGACACCTCAGGGCCTCAGTTTACTTGCTCTGGTGGAATCAAAATATTCATGCCCTAGGAATTTTATGATTGTTATTCAAGGGCTACGCAAACGGGACCACATTCCAAGAGGGACCAGAAACCGCAAACCCCCAGGGAAGAAGC